TCCATGATTGGTTTCCAGATAGGATCAGTAGAATATCCTTGGCGAATCTGGTCTTTCAGGTCATTCCCAACATCCAGGTAAGAGACAATTGCACCAAAAAAATCACTTTGTCTGGACAATGCGTCTGCGACCACATTAGACTTACCTTTGATCGTTTTCAACTCAAAATTGAAGGTATCAATGAACGTAGACCATCGTACCAGCTTATCAGAGAGCCTAGGCTGTGTCTTTATCCACTTCAGAGTAGAGTGGTCTGAATACATAGTAAAGTGTCACCCTAATAAGTAGTGTTTCCACGTGTTTAGTGCATAAACTAAGGCATACAACTCTCTTTCATACGTGGAGTTGGCAACTTTTTCCGACGGCAGTCGTGCAGCCATAAACTCAATGGGCCTATAGCCCTTGCCGTCATCTTGCTGAAGAACAGCGCCAATTCCATATTGACTTGCATCAGTAGTGACAATGAAAGGCAAAGACTGGTGTGCAATCTTAAGGACGGGGTAGTGAGTCAGGGCATACTTCAATTTCCGAAAGGAAGACTCACAATCCTTATCCCACAACCAAATAGTTTCTTTCTTTAGCAATCTTCGCATTGGTGGAGCAATCAGTGAGAAGTTCCTAACAAACTTCTTGTAATAACTGGCTAAACCAAGGAAAGATCGCTATTCTGTTATAGACTTAGGTTGTGGCCAATCTCTAATTGTTGAAATTTTCTTCTCTTCAGGCCTTAGACCTTCTTCGTTCACTATGTGTCCTAAGTATAACACTTCGGACTTAGCAAACTCAGACTTCTTGGGATTGATCTTGAAGTTGCCCTCACGCAACTTCCCTAGCACCAGACGAAGGTGCTTCTCATGATCTTCTAGTGTCTTATTGTATACTAGAATATCATCGAGATAAACAATGACAAACTTATCCAACCATTGACGAAACAAGTCATTCATTGACCTCTGAAAAGTAGCAGGGGCGTTCGTTAATCCAAAGGGCATTACCACGAACTCGTAGTGGTCATACCTGGTCCGGAAAGCGGTCTTATGCTGATCGGAGGGTTCCACCTCGATCTGGTGGTACTCAGATTTCAAGTCGATCTTGCTAAAGTACCTGCATCCCTGTAACTGGTCAAGTAAGTCGTCAATTCGTGGAAGGGGTTTGACATTCTTAACAGTGACGACATTCAACCCTCTATAATCAATACAGAGACGTAACTCACCTTCTTTTTTGGACACAAATAGGACAGGGGCACCATAAGGAGAGGAGCTAGGGCGAATCCATCCTTTCTCTATTAAGTCTTGCAGTTGTTTTCTCAACTCCTCAAGTTCCCTAGCAGACATTCGGTAGATAGGGCCTTTGGGAATCTTACTGCCAGGAATAATTTCAATTGTGTGCTTGATAGCACGTTCACTTATTCCTGTCGGTTCGGAAAATAAGTCTTTATACTCACTAAGGAGTTTTTCAGTCGAAGGAGGGCAGAAAGTAAAACATTCTCCAACTTTCTTTACAAAGATCATCCTTATTTATTGTTCTAACTTTTTTTTGAAACCATCGAACGAAACGCTGGGTAACTCATACAACAAAAAGAGAGACTAGAGTCAGACCCAGACTTATGAAACAGTTTGATAGGTTTCAATTCAGATTGTGAGTCTCGCAATTGCACAACCTTCTCTTTGAACTTCATGTCTGGGTTGGCTTCCTCGTGCCAATCCATTCCCAGACATAAATCAAATGGGAGGTTATTTTCTACAAGGAGGGATACCTCGTGAAGAATTATCTTCCCTTCCTTGGTTCGAAATCGACACTTCACGCGATCAACATACTGCGAGACAATGATCGTGCTTTTGTCAGCCAAAACAGACGTGGTAGGTCTAGACAAGTTCTTCGCCTTCATTCCGAGATGCAACTTGCGGATTGCTTTCTCGGATATGTAGGATCGCTTGGATCCTGAGTCCAACAGAGCACCTACGTGTGTACGTGTGATTTCTATATCCGCGAGTAGTAGGTCACCCTTAGACTTAACTTTGTTAGCCCACGAGCTTCGTAATGCCAGCAACTCGTTACCAAGCTCGTCGACAGAGTCATCCGGAGAGATAGAACATAAGACAGGTTCAGGGTGTTCTGGACGATGGGCCGAAGAAGAACCATCCTCTGCCATGTGAGTCACAAGGTTGGAAGGGTTAGTAGGCGCCTTACCTTCATCTTTGTCCAAACCCTTAGACTCTGTAGGAGCAGATGCTACTCCTACTGGCGGCTCGCTTTTGGGTTACGGATCAACGGGCACCATGCAATTACATGCCCTGCAATGCCACACTTCAGGCATTGCACGTTGTCCATTCGTTCCTGCCACGTTTCTTGTGACAGACCCATCTTTTCCCAAGGCTTCCCGACCGCAATTCCGGGGTGTTCTGGGAAAGAACGTGGCTTCTTCTTCTTGACTGGCGGTCGTGGTCCTCCCTTGTTGACCACGACATCAGTGACTTCCCCCTTCCCGGAATCACTGTTGCTTGCCACACCCTCGGCCTCCGATGACCATTTCTCCACGGTATCGTCATCAAAGACGATAAGGGTGTGGTCCTTGCGCTTTTGGCGCCAAAGTACCCGCTTTCCTGTTCCTGCACCACCACCATATTTAACAACAGACGCATAGGAGTTCTTAACCTGAGAGGTCATTTGCTCTCATTGGAGAGCCAGATCCCGAAACTGCCTATAATTATACTTACCAGACTTGGACTCTGCCACGAGTTGCCCACGAATGGGCGCGGGTAGAGCACGGGAATAGATGTACAAGACCTGGTTGTCTTGCAGGTTTAGTCCTGGAACCTGCAACAACCGATCAACTTCCTGGGACAACGACTCCACAGAGGTCCAATGTCTTTCAACAATCGTGGTGAGCTGGTCAAAGGCCTTATCGACCGTCGTTTTGTCCAAAAATCGTTCCTTGATCTTCCCAAGGAACTATTTGAAGTTCAAGGTTCCAACCCACTCCCCGATGTCATCGAACCTGCGACATTGGCTTCGGCCAAAACCCACTCCTTAGCTTCCCCACCAAGACAAGAAGTAGAGAATGCAACCTGGGATTCGGGTTCGACAGGGGCCGTGCTACAGTACGTTTGAATCTCTGTGATCCACAAAAGCAGATTTTCGTCTTTCTTATTACAAAATGTGAAAGGCAATTTCATTTTAACTTTTTCTTTCCTCTTTGGTTTCTCCGGAGCCGTTTCTTTGTCCTGTGGCTTCGGAGAAGGAGACTTTGGAGGTGGAGAGGAAGGAGGGGAACTGGGTGGAGAAGGCGGCGGACTCGAAGGCTCCCCTTTTTTTTTCTCTTCCATCTTCTTTATTTCTACCTTGAGAGACTTTATGGCGTCTCCCATGAGTTTTTCTGTCTTTTCATTTTTTTCTTCCTTGACTTTTTTTTTTTTTTTTTGACCAAATTTGTGATTAGCTGAAGCCCTGAGGCCACATCATCAATTTGTGTCTGCATCCGTTTGCCAAACTGATCGATTTTCATTTCCAAATGGGCAAGGTAATTCACAAGTTGAGCCAAGGAAATTTTATGTTCTTCCCCTTCAGTCTTAACAACAGTTTGTCTAATCTCTTTAACTTTCTGTTCTTGCTGTTTAATCTTTCTCTTTCTCAATTATTCTTTACTCTTCTTCTCTCTTTCTAGTGCTTCTTCAAGTTGTATGATATTCTCATCCACGGTTTCTTCAGACACCACCTTTTCTCCTTCTTCTTTCTGTTCAGTAAGCTTGGAGAGCTGATTCATGACATACTTATCAAGTGTCTGATTACACTTGATTAGCACATTCTGAACCTGAATGACGTCGGTTCCTGTCACTGCCGATTCAATAGCATCATGTAATGCTCTTAAATCGAACAGGGTCCTGACATAGGCCTCAACCTCAGCACCTGCATCATGAAGTTAAGAAATCAATCCGTCTAGACAGGCAATCAAGACTTGTTTTCACTCTTTCACTTGGTGCTTAGTTCAGGGGTCAAGAGTCTCCTCATCCACAACAAACATGAGTGGGAGTGGGTAGAAAAGAAGTGGGATGAAACGTGTGAGCACCGACACTTTTAGAGAATTCCAGAGAAGAGACATCGTGACGTGCGTCTGCCGCACAATAAATACTTAATTAACGGTAATAAATTCCACGGCCACACTGATTTTACCACAGCAAGAATTTAAAGAACAGAAGAAAAAGAATCAGAAACAATTATTTATATTTCTAACTATTGTTGTTCTTTGTCTGCGTGATGATGTCCTACTCGAGAGTGTACAGGTACCACTACCGGCCCGTGTGATCAGACACAACCTATGTTGCACGCTGGCCGCGGCCGGGTTCGGCCCAGGCCGCGGCTGGCGGCCTAGGTCGGGACCCCCCCGTTCGCGGCAGGCCCGGCCGAGTTTTTTCGGCCTCGGCCTCGACCGATCTGGGGGGCGGTTTTCAAAGCGGAGAGTGGGTTTGGGGTGGGGGGGTGGGGGGGCACCCCCTCAAAGTGACAGGGCGTCAAAAAAATAAAAAACGGGGGGGTCCTGCACATGGCCCTGGAAGGGTGGGTCGCAAAAATTTGTGCGTCGCCCGTGTGCGGGTTCTTCGATGCGGGGTCGCAGGGGAGAGGGTCTGGAACAGTCGAAAAAAAAAAAAAAAAATTTGACCCTTGCGGGGGCGGCCCAACGTGGGTTGGATGAGGGCCTGCTTGGGGCGGCCCGTGCGGCCAGGTCGTGTCGAAGCTGGACGGGGCTGCAGATGGCAGACCCCAGCCAGCTCAGGGCCTAAGGCAGTGAAAGGTAGGCGTCAGTTTCATTCATGAGGGTGATGACAGTTCGTGACGTATTTTGAAACAACACATTCATGGCAATCATAAGTCAGACCCTTGTTGGCATACCAAAGTCAAAACACATTCAAAATCAATCAGAGTGAGGCGAACCATAAGTTTCAAACAATGTTAACAGGCAAGTGTGTCATAGTGTGTGTTCACTCATCAGACTGGTGGTGGACATTTTTGTAAGAACACATTCATTAGCACATCATCCCTATGTCGCATCTCAAATTAACAGCACATTCATAATGGAGGCATCCATGACATGCAGGTGCGCGGCATTGGAGAAGCACATAATTTGCAACAATCATGACAACAAACCACAAACCACTCACCAAACAACAACGACTCAGATGCAAGACCAATGTTGGTAGAGGAACACGAACAAGAGCAAATATATGACAAAGCATTTCAATGGAAATGCGTATGTACAAGGATGAAGCAAAAAACTGGACCCGTCGTCTCTACTGTACAATCGAGTAGCAAGAAGAACTGGACCCTATTTACAAGGCTGAAGCAAAAAACTGGACCCGTCGTCTCTACTGTACAACCGAGCAGCAAAAAAAAAAAAAAAAAAAAAAACCCTAATGTCCACATACTGTCGTCGTCTCCATGGAACAACATCGACATAAATGTGCAACAACCCTGCCGACAGAGCGTCCAGGCTGTACAGCCACGCAAAAAACAAAAAAAAACTAAGAAAAAAAACAAAAAAACTCAGGGACGTCGTCATCTCCCTCCAGAGCGCGCGCGGCCTCTCCCGGAGGACGGGCGGCCATGCGGTCCTCCCCAGCGCCCTCCTCTCCCTCCGGCACCTGTGCCCCGTGCCCCGCTGAGGTATGCCGCCTGTGCTGCAGCGGCTGCCGCGACCACCTGTGCCCTGTGTCTGCGGGCCGCAGTCTCGGTTGGCTCGAACTCTGTGTCTGAGTCCTCGTCCTCCCCCGCCCGTGCAGCAATCCCCATCTCTCTCTCCCTCTGAATCGCGTCCAATGCTGCCTGGCCAGCGGCGACCCCTGCCGCGAGTCGAGCCTCAACCTCCGAGAGGCCATGCTGTCGTCTCATCCCGGGACGCATCAACAACCCCTCCTCGCCCGATGTGAACTGCTCTCCCCGCAGCATGTCCGTGGATGTCCCTGCGGCCTCGATGACCAATGATCTCCTCGTCTCCGCTAGTGACAAACCGAGCAAGCGGCCTGCCATCTGCAGGCTCGGATGTCCGGACCCACCCTCCGCAGTCTGCGTCTGAACTGGCGTACGTCCCGTGAAGACGCCCCTCTCGGTGTCGTAATCCGCCCGCAACCGGTCCCCGACCCGACGAACAGCTGACCATCCGCCACCCACACCACATCGGACTGTCGGCGGGGATCCGCCACTGTGCGCAACTCCGGGTGTCGCCGTCCAGTCCCCGGTGTCGACCATACCCTCCGGAGTCCGTGCGGGCGGTGGAGGCATCGATCCTGCACTATCTCTGCCGCCGTCGCTGCGTCTGCCGGACCCCACCTCACCCGCTCCGGACTCCCTCCCTCTCACGCCGCTGAACAACGAACCCGACCAGTGAGGGCTCTCCACCACGAACGGCGGCGGTGAATATACCCTCCCAGGGGCCCGCATCTTGCCGCTCTTGCGGCTCACGTGTGCGAAACGGTCATCCGTCAACGCTTGCGCCAAAGAGTCGATGTTGAAGAAAGTGTGTTGTGTGTCGTCAGGGCGCAAGGGAGGTACTGTGGGGTCCCTCAACACCAAGGCGAGCCTATACGCATCGTCCTCGGGACCGTGGTCGTCGTCATCATCTCCGTCCGGTCCATCGTCTCCACCGACACCCGTGGTATCCCCATCTCCAACGGGTCCACCCTCTCCTCTGCCACACATGGCGGCAGCTTGTCCCTCATCACCCGCGGTCTCACTGTCGCCACGCCCCCCACTAGGGAACCCACCGCCCATGACAACATCCTGCCCCTCATCACCCGCGGTCTCCTCATCGTCGCGTCGTCCACCACCTGACTCGCCACCCGCTGCGGCATCCTGTCCCTCATCATCGAACTCCTCCTGAACTGCCTCCTCAGGGACACCCGAGGCGTCGACGTCACGGCCTCCCCCCCCTCCTGTCTCCATCTCCCTCTGCCGACGCTGCTCGTCAAGATACGCGAACCGACCCTCCCATCGTGGCAAACTCCCCAGCCGCTCCTCCTCCTCTCGGTCCAAACGGGCATCCCTCTCCTCCTCAGTCTCAACAGGGCCCCGCACAACGTCCGTGTCGGTGCGCACATCCGACGGTGAGGCACGTCGACATTCCTCGACACTGAAATCTCCCAAGCTCCCACCAAGCCCTACGACGTCAAAGTCGTCTGTGCGGAGCACCGACGGCGAGCGGGGGCGGATACCGGCGTCGGAAGGAGTCCTCTCCCCCCCACGATCCTCGCCGTCATGTGTCCGGTCTCTGCCTGCTGCCGACGCCAACCTCTTCGAACGCCTAAGTGCCTCGGGCTGTACAGCGCTCCGATGATGGGAGGGAGAGAAGCGACGATCGTGAAGGGGTACCCGCTCATCCTCGGCCACCTCCTCGGCCTCGCTGTCGCTCCTAACCTCCCATCACTTGCCTGTTTGCCGAAAACCTCCCCGTGGCTGCTGCTCCCCCGAGTCGTTGACGCCAACCTCCGCATGCGAACGTCCTCCACGACCACCACCGGCTCTGCTGCTGCCACTCGCCTGTGTGGTCGACGGCGCACCACCAGTGATAACTGATGTGAATGAATCCATGCCCTCACGACCCCCACCGCAAGTGAAGTACACCCGCTCAGCCGTCGGGTCGCTACTCACCGACGTCTCATCATCGTCTGTCCACTCGTCGTCGATGTGGTCGTCTGCCGCAGCAGCGTCCACATCATCCCCACCCTCTGGCCACGGTCGCAGCTCCGTCACCCTGCTGCCGAACACATCCCGAACCGAATGGGCTCTGGACGGTCAGCTATGCTGGAAAGCGACAATCTGCAGCTCGATCTCCACCTCTGGAACACTGCTGGCAGGTCGCGCTCCCCACACCTCGGGCTCCACATCTCCATCCTCATCCTCGTCCTCTGCCGCCGTCTCCCCCCGACCGGTCCCCATAACCCATGGCAACACGTAGCCACCACCCTGTCGTGCGCACGAGGCCAGTTTGAGATTGGTGGCAATCTCAACCAGCTGTGCAAGCTTGGCAAACCCAAGCTTGCAGCGCCTCGCCGTGTTGATGCGCTCGTGCTGCGCCCAGTTCCTCTCCGTTGGAGAGGCAGGCGTCCACAAGTGCATGACATGGATGGCGATGGTGCGCAACTCCGGGTGGGCACGTCCATGCTCATCAATTGCAGCACATGTTGACTCCACTCGTAAACGGTGGACATCATCATCCCCCCACTATCCATCCTGCGCAACAGCTGGTGGACGGGCGACATGACAAGGATGGCGTACTGGACACACCGCCAAAACTCCCCGTCCCGGATCTGCTGCTGCACCCACTGCGCCTGAGATATATGTCTGCGCTCCCATGGGATGCGTGCCCAAGCATCCCCGTGCAACATGCTCTCCAACGCGTCTCGTCAGCCTTTGAGACACGTCAGCATCAGGAAAACCGATGCGAACCGTGTCTCAACAGGCTCGACGAGCTGAACGCGAGGGCTCACCTTCCTAAACAGGGTGTGACCAGCGCCGTGTGATTTAATAAATCGCACAAGCGCTCGAGCGCGGATGATGGTGTCCTTGACCCACCCCACTCGCGTCCCGATATCTGACAACATCAAGTTGCAGACATGGGTGGAGCAGGGGAGCCAAGTGATCCTCCTAATGTCGGGCTCAGGGTCAGTGGCGAATCTGCGCGCTGCCGCCGTATAGTTACTGGCGGAGTCAGTGAAGAAGCCGATCACGTCCTTCGCAAGAAAGGACACGATGATGGCCCGCCACCTACGGTACACGATGTCCGCGGTGTCTCGGACCGACCCGTCGTGTGCGACGGTCGTGTATAGCAGGGCGCCATTGGCGCCCCCGGCGAGGAAGTCACGAGTCGCTTGCCGCTGCGCGACTTCCTCCCGTCGAAGAGCATGGTGGCACCCCTGTGCCGGAAAGCGGCGCGCACCTCGCTCACCATCGTCGCCACCTTCGCCCTCTGCGAAGGGATACCGGCGCCCGCTGTGACCCTGAAGGAAGGAAACCGGAACTGGATACTGCGTGGCACTCTCTCCGCCGTCTGCCGCACCTTCTGGAACTCCGGACCACGAAAGGCGTTGAATGACAACCCCTTCACGTAGATCCACTGCAGCCACGCGTCCGTGAACTCCGCCAACTTCTCCTTGGCGTACATCTCGTCAATCGTGGTCTGCCGAGCCCTCTTCTCCCTGCCCGTGTCACGCACCTCGACGCCAGCCTCCCCCACTACCCTCTTCTCCCTCTTCGCACGATCCAACTTAGGTCGCGGCGCCCTAGGAGCGGGACCCGCTCGACCGACGCCTCTCGACGTCATCACCACCTCCTCCCCTGGCAAGTCAGGCTCTCCGACTCCCTCGTCTGCCTCGTCTGCCACCCTCCCCTCCCTGGCCCCACCCTCGCGGCCCTCCTCCTCATCGAGGGCATCCTGAATGTCGTCCCTCTCTGCGTCGTCCATCCGCTGTCGCTGGCCACCCGCGGGCGCTCTCGTGTCCCGTATGCCTTCGTCTGCCATCCACCTCTGCACCCGCTGAGCAGTGGACGACACAAATGTGTAGTCCGTGTCGTTCCAGAGTTCCGCGAGAACTCTCATCCCCCCAGCCTTGCAGAACTTCGCCTGCGTGAAATGGTGCGCGGCCTTCGATGACCCCCCCTGAAACAGGTGGCCGCATAAGTTGCAACGCAACTTTCGGTCCCCATGCATCTTCGACTGGTCCCCGACGTACTGCCCCGCGGTGACGAAGTTCCAAACAATGTTCCCTCACCTCAACTTCGCCATCTCCTTCTCGGACAGTGGGTTGAATTGGGCACCCCCAGACCCCCCCGCACCGCTGCTCCCTGCACCCCCCGTCATCGCCCCCCCACCCGGATCCAACAAGTCGCGGCGTCGATCGTCGATGTCGTCCGACCTTGCTGCACCGTCGATGTAGTCCCCGACGTCCCCGCTGCCGACGTTGCCGCGTCCCCCCGAGGTCGTGCACGCCCGTGGCCCCCACGCTCCCCGCTGGTTGGCCGCAAGCACAGCTGTAAGTCGTGCCGGCCGTGTCCGTCCCTGCTCGGCAGAGTTCGGCGGAGATCGGCCTCGTCCGGCCGAGATTGGCCGAGATCGGCCTCGTCCGGCCGCGGCCGGGCACTAAAATGGCCGCGCGCGGCGATGGCGAAGGCTGTCGGGCGGCCGGTGGACCACGCCGGGGCACTGTCCCGCGTGGCCGCGCGGCGAGCGCCGCTGCCACGTGCGCAACGAGAAGAAGAAGAAGAAGAAGAAGATCTCTCTCTCTCTCTCTCTCTCTCTCTCTCTATCTATCTATCTATCTATCTATCTATCTATCTATCTATCTATCTATCTCAACGATCTCTCTCTCTCTCTCTCTCTATCTATCTATCTATCTATCTATCTATCTATCTCAACTATCTCACTCTCTCTCTCTCTCTCTCTCTCTCTCTCTCTCTCTCTCTCTCTCTCTCTCTCTCTCTCTCTCTCTCTCTCTCTCTCTCTAGCGGTATCTCCAGTGCAACAGGTACCTAGAAAATCAATCTTCTCTCTCTCTCTCTCTCTCTCTCTCTCTCTCTCTCTCTCTCTCTCTCTCTCTCTCTCTCTCTCTTAGCGTTCGAGCACGCACTTCGGCAGCCTAACGGCAACAACTACAACTGTTGCCGTTTCAGATAAATGGCAGCATATTTGAAACGGCAACAGTTTTGCCGTGGCCTGGGCCTGGACCCACCGCCCTCCTCACACTGCCCACTGCCCACACGTTGCCCCTCACCCACTGGCTCCGAAACAGGGCCAAAACGTCCCACCGGGCCCTAGTTTTTTTTTTTTTTTTTTTTTTTTTACGTGAAATATGGGTGAAAAAAATCATGTACCAAACTCGGCTGGTCGTCCTAGGCCGAACCGGGCCAAGTCGGTCATCGGCCTAGGCCGCGGCCAAGTCGGACCCCCTGGCCGTGGTCGGGCGTGCAACATAGCTCACCAGCGCTCAGACGACCTCATCGTACCTCATACCCACCATGATCACCTCATTTCCACGCAGGGGCCTATAAGGAACGCCAAATAGACGCTTCATAGTGCGGTCGGGAGGGGCACCCCTCGACAGCGATCGAGGAAACACGTCCTCCTGAGTGTGTAGCATGTGTGTGTCACATGAGTTTCGCACGAGCACGACAAGTCATACTCGTGCTACTCCGACCAAAGGCGTCGGCACATTGTGAGAAAAAAAGCAAGACGTGGGAGACAATTTTTCAACGCGGCAGGGTAAAACCACTCGTGTGTCCATTTGTGGTGGGGTAAAAACATGAGGACGTTTTATGGTCGAAGTTGGCAAATTATGCGTTGGTGGCGAATCGAAGTGAAGGGGGGTAGGGGTGCCTCGTTCCTCGAAGGGGCATCAACTACATATTACCATAGAAAATATCAGAAAAGCAAGACGCACAAAAAGATCTGCCAGTATATAAATTACCGAAGAGCACGACAATCATTTAAAAACAATTTATTGCATGCAATTGCTCAGACACGATCATACACATTCATCAACTTGGTGAGATTGCAGCAAAGGACGAGTCATCGCCGGAAGAGGTACCCTAATAAGGTGAAAAAAATCTTGACTGGCTACAACGGGAAAAAAATTCAATTAAAGGGAAGACGGAAGAGGGAGGAAGAGAGCGGGAGGAGGGGAGAGGAGGGGAGAAACAACCGAGAGAGAAGGAGAGAAAGAGGTAAAGGTACGAAAGAAAGGGAGAGAGGAAGGAGAGAAGGAGAAGAGGGAAAAAGAGGCAAGCGATGTTTCCATTGCATCCAAAAGGTGAGGAGAGATAGGGGTGCATCCAAACACCATACGAGAGAAGGGAGGGCTGGTCCATACATCCAAAGGGAACTAGAGATCACACCGAATAGTCGCGTTTGTAACATTAACAAAATAAATTGCCCACCCCGTTCCTCTGCTGCCAATCATTCATGTGGTTCCATATGGGGGAAAAAAAAAGAGGGGGGGGGAAGAAACGGGGAATGGGGAGAGGGGGAAGGGGGGGGAAAAAATTATATCCCGCTTAAGCTCTATCCTCCAGATCCAGCGCGTTCCTGCATCCGCGTGGATCATCTTGCCGAATTGCGGGAAGGGCATGGCAATTCCCTAAAGCGTTTTTCTGCCCCATGCCACATGGGGCGTCATCAGAGGGGGAGACATCTTCCATGATCTCTGGAAGGCGAGGGGTGGTCGGGTTACGAAGGGGGGTGCAGTGAGACAGGGATGGTGGAGGGTTGTGGGGTCGAGAGGTGAGGGTCGGGGCTGGGGGGAGGGGGAGGGAGGGGTCATGCGAACGGGAGCAGGGAAGGGAGTAGATGAAATAGAGGATGGAAAGGAAGAAGAGGAAGGAGAGGAAGGCCAAAAAGGCGCATGTCGAAGCCTGCGTCATTGGTATATGCTCCATCGCTCCGCTCGCCGCAACGCTCGTTGCCTGATTGATAACCGAGCCACCCTTTAGCGCCCAACACAAAAACGAGGCACCAACAGCTGGCGAGGAAGACGGTTGCGAAGCAAATGGTGCAACCGACTAAAAAAGTAGAGCGTCTTGCCGATAAACGAAGAAAAATTCCTTCAGAAAGACATGCAATAAGCAGCGCGCAGGGCCGTAGGCTATGGCGAGATTCGGAAGCAGGGCGAGGAGGAGGAGGAGCATGAACGCGACATTTCGCGTTGGCATTGAGGGGGATAGGCGGGGCATACCTGACTCGGCAGGGCAGGTAGAGGCAGTATGCATGACGCTCGGCCCCGGAGTGCTCAGGCACTGGGATATGAAAGCACAACCGGGAGGGTGCCGTTTGCCAGGAACATTACCACTTCCTCTACGTCCTGCAACTCCTCTTTCAAGCCCAGTCGGCGAAGAAGTCCATGTCGCCCGCCGTTCTACCCAACCCTTGGCAGTCGTGGAAACCGGAAGCCCCATTTGCTGTCAGAACCATTAACCGCACAAGCAAAGCAAGCTATCGCTCTTATTAACCTATTTCTACGCAGTTATCCTTAGGCCAGAAAAAAAAACATACAAAGGACCAAGGAAAAAAAAAACAGAAAAAAAANCTCTCTCTCTCTATCTATCTATCTATCTATCTATCTATCTATCTATCTATCTATCTATCTCAACGATCTCTCTCTCTCTCTCTCTCTCTCTCTCTCTCTCTCTCTCTCTCTCTCTCTCTCTCTAGCGGTATCTCCAGCGCAGCGTAGTAAGCAAATCTTGTCTCTCTCTCTCTTATCTGAAACGACAACAGTTTTGTCGTGGCCTGGGCCTGGCTGGACCCACCACCCACCACCCTCCTCACACTGCCCACTGCCCACTGCCCACACGTTGCCCCTCACCCATTGGCTCCGAAACAGGGCCAAAACGGCCCACCGGGCCTTTTTTTTTTTTTTTTTTTTTTTTGCGTTTTTGTTTTCTTCGCCGCGCACAGAGGTCCGACAGCCAAAAAAAAAATATGGGCGTGTAGGGCTTTTTCAGCCCTACACGCCCATAGATATATATATTTTTTTTGTACGTGAAATATGGGTAAAAAAAATCATGTACCGAACTTGGCTGGTCGGCCTAGGCTGAACCGGGCCGAGTCGGTCATCGGCCGAGGCCGCGGCCGATTCGAACCCCCCGGCCGCGGTCGGGCGTGCAACATAGGACACAACACACAAGTAAGTACGCAAACACCACACACAACAACAACAGGTAAGTATGCCAACAACAATCATACACAGTTTATCAGCAATCTTCGTCAATTTGTTGTGTCTTCTTTATGTCTGTGCGATCACGTACTCCTCTTGATAGCTGACACTATAGCTGTGCAATCTGTCCAGTCAGCTGTACCGCCGTCATCTTTAGAGTGCACCTCTTACTCGGCAGTATCCTGCCTGCCACGTGTTATCCCTGGAGTGCCAACATAGCAATGTTGCCACGTCACCACTCTGTCCAGTCTGTCAATAATGGGATGCGACGTCGGCAAATGTGTAGTCCGATCCTCGCCACGTGCCTCTTCCAAACATCACGAGAGATACCATCGCCGTTCCAGCCAGTCAGATTATGCCTCGTCAGCCAAGGAGTTCAATGCTACGTCAGCAGGCAGACACCACCTCATAAGACAGGTGTGATGACCTGCTCCTGCCACGTCAGCAATCAATCTTCTTTCCTCCAGGCCACGCCAGCATCTGCGTTAGACCCTGTCGCGTGTCAGCAGCACAAGGAGTGCCACATCAGCAATGAACAGGGTCTTCAAACGCAACACTATATGGGCCACGTCGGCATGGGATCGCGATGCCACGTCACTATCGCGATCCTGGCTGGCATGCGGTATCCCTGGTCTCGGTCCCTACCGCCTTGTCAGCAGCCTGATAAGGAGGTCTTCTCGCCAGTGGAGTCTATACACCGTCAGCTGCTCCGGTCAGGTCTTCTTGCCAGTGAATCAGTACTTCGTCAGCAAGCCCCGACAATGTCTTCTCGCCAATGAGGTATGTGCCACGTCAACACCCCCCAGCGTATCCCTTGCCACGTCATCACCTACTCAACCTTACTTCCCTGCGCGCCACCTGGCGCGTACTCAGTATACAATGTCGTCGTCACGAGAAATGCTCCGATACCAAATTGTAATGAACCCAGATTGTGAGACAGTTGTCATCAATGCAAGCCCAGATAAATGTCCATCGGCTGATGATTATTAATA